GCTAGGGGCAGGTTTTCCTTACAACTTCATGACGCGTTAATAAGTCAACTTCAGGAATGAGATTAAGGAATTCCTAGTGAGTGTACACATCTTCCGCTGAACAAACTAAAGGAAAATTGTATGTATTTACACGTCATCTGGCGACTAATGGGGATAAGTTGGGATTAATTGTTTTAATGGCGTATTTTTACCCAATTATTTTACAGGTAAAATTCTGCATCACGTATTTACCCATTTCGATTTCTTCTTCTCCATCTCCAGAGCTCCCCATCCCTCATGCTGTTATTACAGCATTGGTGAAATGTCTTACTCGTAGACACAAGCTCAAACCAGCAGGTGGACTGAGAATCTGAAACCACCAAGGTGACCAATCCTAGCTTTCAGTATCAGCAATCCTAGCTCTACAATGTCATCTCGGGAACTTGAACCAGCAGGTGAACTTGAGTCTCTAACCATCCGGGCTTCAGTGACCAGTCCTAGCTGTATTCTCAGCAACATAAACCAATAAGTGGATTTGAGCCTTTAATCACCCAAGCTTGAGTGACCAATCTTAGTTCTAGTCTCAGCAACATGCACCAGCAGGTTGACCCGAGCCTTTAACCATCCAGGCTTGAGTGACCAATCCTAGATCTATGCACTTTCATGGAGAGATTTTATACCCAGTAGGGTGTTGGTCTTTTAGAGTTTGAGTTTATAAACACCTCCAGTAAATTTTGCATATGAGCTAAAATGTCTTGTGTAGTCATTTGCAAGCATTGTGAACACGATTGACAACGATTTCACGAACTTGATTCTTCTTGTATTCCAGCACTTTGTTTACTGTGACCTGCTTTCATGGAGATGCCATTGACTGGCTGAAGGAGCATATATGTAGGTGAGCCCTGATGATTTCTACTAAAAACATCAGAAATGTTATGCAAACTCTACATGTACATTTGATATTGTGAATATTAATAATAACCTCTCATGTGTTGAAGGCACAGTCCATCATTTGCGGATTATCCAGTCCTTGTGGATCGTGTTCTTTGGGGCAACAAAAGTACTCAAAATCCAAAGACAGGTTTCAAAGAACAAACCTGATGAAGTTTCATCTCGTAGAATACTATAGATTCTGAAGGAAAAAAAATATTCTAGGATTTGGATTTCAAATCAAAAGTTGCTGAGTTGTGTTTGAATTGCGCTGGAATTTTAGCCTCAGGGACCCATTCTCACGTTCACTCAAATGCAGCTATGCAGTATTACACACTGAGCTAATGATTTATATTGTGTAGTTGATGCACGCTTGTGTTGTCAAGGCTTCCACATTTCCAGTGGTAATTTTCCAAAATGTGTCTTCAGATGCATTTTCTGAAACTGCCTTCTCCAAAACTGCCTTCTGTCATTGTTTTCTCCAAAATGACAGCTCGCCAGAAAGAATAATTTCACAACGGGTTTAGTTCCACGATGGCCAACTGCACCAGTTTCCTTGGGTTGATAACTGCACCTTTAACAGAAATGTGTAATACTGCACTTGTAGCCAGGCTGAGGTTTGACATGAACATTCCAGAAAATTAGCCAATTTCAAAAATATAGTTTCAACAAGTTGGCACAGTTGTTTAAATCACTCCAAAAATATAACTCCTTCAAGACAATCATGTGCTCCCAGAGCACGTGCTCCGTAAATTCTTTGAAATCGTTAGTTGGATATTTGAAAAAAAAAGAATTGGTTGAAAGTTAATATACTGATTCTTCTTTAAACAACTTAACCAGTATGTGGATCATTTATTCAGTGGCCTTTATTCACAAGATGGCCATTTTGGATTTTGTTACCCGGATTCACTTCATTTATCATCCTCTCTAAAATCAGAAGGAGCCTGACTATTTCACTTCAATTGCAAGATATATATGCAACCATACATATGAAGCCAAACCACTGTGGTTGTGTTTGTATTGCGCATGCCCAGTGTGTATTGCAGCCGTTCATCGGTATATCAACAGTAACAAAACCGTCAACCTATGTGAATTGCGGTAGTCAAGCGGTTACAGCATAATGGTTTGTGATGCATGGGGTGTGGGTTCGAATCCTGGGTCAAAATTGTGGGCAGGGAGGTTTTTTTTTAAAGGAAAATAAAGCCTGAATGTTATAGGAGCCTAATTTCGCACAGGAAGTTTTTATGGTTGATTGAGCATCTAGATGTCATGCATTGTGCGTGGTTGTGAACCGTGGTTTGGCTTCATACGTGCGATTGCATAGCTCTCAATTGCAGGTAAAGCCTCAGTTCCAATTTTTTTTTTTAAATCAAGGTGACATAACTTTGAACATGGAGGAAGGACACAGGAGTTTGAACTTCCCGGGCTATAACATCTGGCCAATTACCGCTTTCTTGCATACCCGGTATGTCCATAGCCAGAGCGCAGCGCACGCCTGCTACTCACCACCTGTTTTGCAACTATAAGCCTTCTTTGTACCCTATGATCGTCGCCACAATTTTTCATTGGTAATCTGCATCCCCAAAACGTTGTGTGCTGCAGAATAGGAAGTTGAGTATTAATGCCATCGTTGGTGCTTGATATGATCCGACAACAACATCAAATTTAGTGCTTGCGTAGTTGCTTTTACTAGGCTGTGTACCTGAAGTGTTCATGTGCAGTTGTTGCCCTTATCAAACACTTTCTTCTGCACTTATTTTTGGAGTAAATAGCCAAGCTGTTACTAGGATTTTGTATTTTGTATGAATTATTTTTATTATGGCATTTGTAAAAAGGCGTATTTTATGAGATTTCATGATCACTCCCTGTGATGAAATGGCGCATTTTGTTCCTAATGAACTGAGCTTTCCAGAAGTAGTGAAGATTTTGATGGCCAGCCTCAGCCAAATTCGTACCTAGTCTTTGAACACTGATGTATTGGACAGGGGAGACTAGAATTACAAACTTTGCATGGATAATGAAACAGTGTGTCAAAATTTAAAAAGTTTATTTACTATGGCAAAAGTAGGTCTAATATCAGGAATTTTTCTCTCTCTATTTCCTGGTCACATCGATAGTTTGTATTTAATTGCAAGCAAAAATTACAAGTATCACCAGGATATTACTAGCCCCGCTTGTCTGGCTAAGATGTAGGCAGCAATAAGGCATTTTTGGAATGTTTTCTATTATTCGTCAGACGTGGCAACAACCATCATTGGACGCTTTGAAATGCGTGAGTTACAACTCCTGTGTCCTTCCTCCATGCTTTGAAGTATTAAAGCCAATTTATTTGAAGTCTTCCTTGTGCATAACATGTACTTTGTACTACATGTAACGTTATGAACTAAAGAGACCATTGCCAACAATATTTTCTCATCCGTGCAGGCAAGAGAACATTAGCGTTTCAAGCAGGGTGAAGTGGTTCCTGTCTACCGTGGTACTTGGAGGGGATTCACCTCACAAACATGGCTCGTGCAAATGGGGTGCTCTGAAGCTCAAAATTGTACAGCATTTGTCTTGACACAGTTAACAGTGTTCACACTTGAAACAGGGAGTGTAGATGTTTTTTAGTCTAAGAAAAAAAACAAATGTTGCCGTAGTTTTCGCTATGAACATCCAACAAAAGAAACGCATTGCACTTACTACATGTATAAGCGTTCACTGTTACTGCAACCTGCTTCTTTTGTTAGACGTTCATAGTGTTTGGTGTCAAGGGTATATTTTTGTCTCTGGAGAAAGAAATAAAAGTATTTAGCTGCAATGCAATTTTCTTCACAACAATTTTTTTAACTTACACTTGTTTGATGTGTTTTTACATTCCTATTTGGTTACTCACATTGAAAAGTGCACCTTTTTAATGCTTAAAAATTATTCAAGCTTTCCTTGACAACTGAGGGGCTATTGCTATGGAGCCTAGGGAAGACATACTGGTATTTCAGCACATAAGTTTTTTAACATTTCTGATAAAGGGATTAATGCTTGCTTATTGCTATGAACAAAAACGACAATGAATCAGCAACGAAGTGAAAATGTTGTCCAGCAAAATCTACAAAAATGAGGGACTTCTTCTGAATACGAACCAATGTAACACAAGGACTTTCTTCCTGGGATGACATCACAATTTTGCTATGAATATGGAAATTATTCATTAGCATAATGACCTAAAAGGCAGTAAATACCTTTTCAAAAAGTGAAAGAAAATCCAGAAATCGGGTTAACTGAGAAAAAGAGGATGCATATTGAAGGTTTTATGCAAACGTCAACTTGGTTTTCAAAAGTTATCATTCAGTTTTTAAAAAAATCAGTTGTGCATTCAAAGTTGTACATTCAAAATCTGTCAAATTGTTTGTGACTGCACAAATTCATAATTATGCCTTTTGCTGCTGTGTATAGATGTAGATAGAATAGAACTCTTTTGAAATTTTGAGGAAGCTTGAAATAGCTGGTTATTTCTCGAAACTTTCAATTTTGTTCTCCTGAGTGTGATTGCAGTGTAAATTCCTCTCATGTTCCAAGTCACTGGTAGCTTGAACAAGAGACTTGTTACTACCAAATTTTCTTAGAGATGCCTCTGATTGAAAGAAATTTCCATGCCTGCAAAATCTTTATGCCAATTGTTTTTGTGACGGATACATGTAAATAATATCAAATAATTTATTTTGAAGCTGTTCGTAAAGAAGTGCTTGTACCTACTTGTTTGACATATGAATTTATATTAAACTGAAACACATCAAAGTCTGTATTTATCAGTCCGTTTCTACCTGCATTGGTATGCTGTTGCTTCCCTATGTCTGCATATTCAGCATTTATTTAAATTTATGCAGATGAGCTATGTCTCTGCCTTTTTTCGAAGTTGCGCAATCCTAACCTTTAAATATATGTTCCGAATCATTTTTATATCAAGAGGCCTGTGGCCTGGTGGTTAGCTAGCTGGCTGCCAGGCCAAGGGATCCCGGTTCAAAACCTGGGGTCCCTGGAAAAGGAAGTTTTTTTTTTTTTTTTTTTTTTTTTTTTTTAACTAGTTTTTTAACAAAATTTGTGATTGCCCACTTGGGTTT